ACCAAAACCCACGGCCTCGTCTGTCCTGCTGCGCCAATCAACCTGCAGTTTACTGACAGACAACCATAAGGCTGGTTTATAGTCTGTCCTGCTGCGCCCATCAACCTGCAGTTTACTGACAGACAACCATAAGGCTGGTTTATAGTCTGTCCTGCTGCGCCCATCAACCTGCAGTTTACTGACAGACAACCGTAAGGCTGGTTTATAGTCTGTCCTGCTGCGCCCATCAACCTGCAGTTTACTGACAGACAACCATAAGGCTGGTTTATAGTCTGTCCTGCTGCGCCCATCAACCTGCAGTTTACTGACAGACAACCATAAGGCTGGTTTATAGTCTGTCCTGCTGCGCCAATCAACCTGCAGTTTACTGACAGACAACCATAAGGCTGGTTTATAGTCTGTCTAGCCACGTCTGTAGACCATTACACTGCGACAAGTGTCTTTGGCCAATTCAACATTACATTTTTTTTTTACTTAGGCCGATTGTCTGTAGACCGTCGGTTTCCTTGCCGCAGAGACATGAACGATTTTAAACTTTGACCCTGTCACAGCTTTTTTATTTTTTAAGTTCACAATCTCAGACAGAAATGCACTGCTTTTTATTTTGTCACATTCACAACCATAAGACAGCTATTTTCAAGCAGGGGCTTTATGTCATAGACCCTCAGAGTTTCAGAATGGGATGGATAATGGAAGCCATTTTGGTAAAGGAGGAAAACAAACCAGTTGGCAGAACAGGCAAAGGTGATGCACCTTATACAGGAAAGTAACAGTAAAACATGATGTATCACAAGTTTGTTTAATAGCATTATTGTCAACCTAAAATATTGTCATAAATACAGTTTCTACATGTTCTATGGACCCAGCCTATGCCCAGATGCTATTGTTCTGTGTAAACAGCCTCTAAGATACAGTATGTATACAGACCATAAATGTCTCTCTATATAATATCAGTACTTGTTGCATTTAAAAACTTGTCTAAGTCCTGTGCATTTAAAACTTGTCTAAGTCCTGTCATCAACTGATTTCAGCCAGTGTGTGGCTGTGGATTGACTGCATTGTTTGAATGGAATGTTGGCAAATTGGCAGTTAATTTGAAAAAATGTATTGAATTGTTCCTCTAAAACTGGCTAGCTAGCTAGCTAGCTAACAAACTGTGCGGTTATATCTATAAAATGCTTTGCTTTACACAATATTTTATAATATTTTATTTGTTATTTGATCAAAGTGTTCCTTTACGAAGATGGATGATTATGGCTATTTTTTTATCTCGTCTTTACCTTGTAAGTAATTATCTTGTAATGTGTTCATTTTCCTGTTTCATGATGAATTAAAGTTGGTTATAGTCCAAGCGTTGTCAGATATGTTCTTGTCATTATCTGAAATGGCTAGCCAGCTAGCTAGTCCGCTAACAAGCTAGTAACAAACCAAAAACATTGTTTAGAATGTTGCTTTTACTTGCCTTGCTTGTTAGATTGACATATCCTAAATACATTTTTAAATGGGGATGGGTTTATTGGTGTTAAAATAGAGAGGCTATGCAATCTCAAACAGAGATTGGAATAATGTGTCTCTATAGGCTATATATGAATATACAGAAACTAACCCAGTGCACGTTTTCAAATCTCTTACAATCCTATAGGCTCAAAGCTTTTCTTTTGACCGACTGACCTCGAATTGTTCAAATTGTTATGTGGTTTCTTCGTTGACTTCTTTTCTGGTCATCTGAGACCCCCCCAGTAAGAGGTAGTTATTAGCACCTGGAGATCATTACAATTAGGTGACAACTGAAACATAGGCTATTTACACAGGCAGCACAATTCTGATCTTTGTTTCACTAATTGGACTTTTGACCAATCAGATCAGCTCTGAAAAAGATCTGATGTGATTGGTCAAAAAAACAATTAGTAGAACAAATATCAGAATTGGGCTGCCTGTGTAAATACAGCCATATTTCCTCCTGCCACTCGGAAATGTGTACTGTCATTATAATACACTGGGATATAACATGTCACCTGTATCATGCCTCCATGAGGCATCTAATACCACCTGTCATTATAATACTCCCACTGGGATCTAAACATGTCATTATATACACTGTGGTAACAAACATGTCATTATAATGACACTGGGAGATAACAGGTGCATATAATACACTGGGGATAACATGTCATTACATATACACTGGGATAAACATGTCATTATAATTACACTGGGAGATAAAATGTCAGTTATAAGTCACTGGAGATAAAAAACTGTGTCATTATAACACTGGAGAGAAACATGTCATTATAATACACTGGGAGATAACATGTCATTATAATACACCTGGGGATTAAACATGTCATTATAAATAAACTGGAGAATAAACTGTATTTATAATACACTGGATATAAACATTCATTATAATACACTGGGATATACCCATGTCAATTATAATACACTGTGAGTAACATGTCATTATAATACACTGGTAGATAAAAAACATGTCATTCTAATACACTGGGAGATAAACAGTCCATTATATACACTGGGAGATCAACTTTCATTAAAATACACTGGAGATAAAACATGTCATTATAATACACTGGGAGATAACTGTCATTATATACACTGGGATACAAACCGTCATTATAATACCCTGGGATATAAACAGGCATTATAATACACTTTACTGGTAGCTACTAAACATGGAAAACTGTGATTCTAATACACTGTAATAAACATAGAAAATATGTACTTATAAACCTGGTAGATAAACATGTCATGAAAATACAACTGGTAGATAAAACATGTCATTATAATACACTGGGGAGATAACATGTCCATTATAATATACGGTGACTAAAACATTTCATTATCTACTGGGATACTAAAACATGTCTTATAAACACTGGGATAGAACATGTAATTATAATACATGGTTAGATAAACATGGAAAACATGTGATTATAATCACCCTGGTAATAACTAGAAAATATGTAATTATAATACACTGGTATGATAAACAATGTCATTAAAATCCACTGGTAGATAAACATTTCATTCTAATACCGGGATATAACATTTCATTATAATACACTTGGATATAACATGGTCTTATAATACACTGGGGAGAGTAACTGTCATTATAATACACTGGATTAACTGTCTATAATACACTGGGAGATAAACATGTAAAACATGTTCATTCTAATACCCTGGAGATAAACATGTAAACTGTAATCTAATACCTGGTAGATAAAACATGAATTTCTAATACACTGGGATAGAACATGTCATTTATAATACCTGGAGATAACTGTTCATTATAATACGACTGCTTAGATAAAACTGTCATTATAATACACGGGTAATCAACTGTATTAATATACACTGGTATAACATGTCATTTAATCACTGGGTAGATAAACATGTCATTATATACACTGGGAATATAACATGTCATTATAGATACACTGGGAGATAACCATGTCATTATAATACACTGGGGATATAAACATGCATTATAATCCTGATATATAAACAGTCTTATAATACACTGGGAGATAACCTGTCATATATACACTTGGGATATAAACATGGCATTAGAATACACTGGGAATAAACATGTCATTATAATACGCTGGATATAACCTGTCATTATAATACACTGGATATAAACATGTCATTATAATACCTGGTATATAACATGTCATTATAATCAACACTGGGATATACCATGTCATTATAATACACTGGGATCTAAACATGTCATTCTAATACACTGGGAGATAAACATGTCATTATATACCTGGCAGATAAACATGTCCATTATATACCCTGGGATATAAACATGTCATTATATACACTGGGAGATAAACATGTATTTATAATACACGGGATATAAACATGGCATTATAATACACTGGTAGTAAAACATGTCATTATATACACTGGGAGATAAACATGTCCATTGGAATGTGCACTGTGAGATAACATGTCATTATAATACACTGGAGATAAACATGTCATTATAATACACTGGGAGATAACATGTCATTAGCAGACACTGGGAGATAAACATGTCATTATAATACACTGGGAGATAAACAAATGTCATGATATCCACTGGGATCTAAACAATGTCATTATATCACTGGGATTAAACATTCATTATAATACACTGTAATCAACAAATTGAAACAGGTGATTATAATACACTGGTAAGATAAACATAGAAAATATGTAATTATAGAATACCGGTAGATAAACATGTCTTAAAATACACTGGTATATAAACATGTCATTATAATACAACTGGGAGATAAACATGTCATTATAATATACTGGGAGATAAACAATGTCTTATAATAAACTGGGATTAAACATTCATTATAATACACTGTATATACACTTCATTATAATACACTGGTAGAAAACATGGAAAACATGTGATTATAATACACTGGTAGATAAACATGGAAAACATGTAATTATAATACACTGGTAGATAAACATGTCATTAAAATACACTGGTAGATAAACAGTCATTATTACACGGGATTAACATGTCATTATAATACACTGGGAATCAACATTAACATGTAATTCTAATACACTGGGAGATAAACATGTAAAACATGTAATTCTAATACACTGGGAGATAACATGTAATTATAATAACTGGATATAAACTGTCTCTAATACACTGGGAGAATAAACAGTCATTATATACACCTGGATATAAACATGTCATTATAATAACACTGGGATATAAACATGTCATTATAATACCTGGGGATTAACATGTCAGGATAATATACTGGGATATACCAATGTCATTATAATACACTGGATATAACATTGTCTTATAATACAACTGGGATATAAACATGTCCATTATAAACACTTGGGATATAAACATGTCATTATAGATCACTGGGATAATAACATGTCTTATAATCCAACTGGGATTATAAACATGTCATTCTAACACTGGGATTAAACATGTCCTTATA